AATAGGTAGTTTGCTAAACTTCTCTACTCTACCATTATTGATGAAGTAACGTAGGCTGAGGACAAAAGATCCGCTAGTTAAAAGACGTTATTTGTTTTTTTCAACAAAACAGTTTACAAATCTCAATAAAATAATATTTTCATAATATACTTACAGATTCTTCCCTTTCTACTTCTATTAATCTAACCATGTACTCAATAGTGAATTATTTAGATTGGTGGTTCATCGAGTTCTAGTGAGAGATCGGGACCAGTGGGGTTCAGTTCTGTCGTGTGCGAAGTGGCTGCCCACCAATACCAATATCATGAACTGACTGAGACTAGATATGTAGATCACTGGGAGTCGACTCACTTATATAAAATTTGAGCGCTTATCAAAAAACCTGGAGATCTTAAATTTAATGCATATTAAAGACATGGAAACATACTTTCGGAGAGTTCCATACCGGGATAAAATTTATGTTCAGTGCCTTCTATTTTTCATAGGTTGTTTAGCTAAGTCACTTTGTGATGTAAACTACAAAAATTAACAATCTCTACAAACCTTCCATTTCCTATACGAAATAATACTTACCAAAAAACTCAATTATATTTAATATAAAATAGGTTACTCTGTACAGAGAACTATAAAATGGGTAGATGAAAGTAGTAAGGAATAATTTCAAAATTAAGAGAAAGAAAAAATTCACTTCCTAAGGAAATCATTTTCTCCTTTCTTAATTTCTTATTCTTTATTGTTTTGTTTTTTTTTTCTTAGCAAAATAACCAATCATACTATTATCCGTTATGGTATAAAACAGTAAAGATAATAAACATAACGTCTTAAAGAAAATCAATGTGTCCTGTTTTTCTATCACTCTTATCCATAACTTCTTTAATTGACCGTTATTTTGCGCGTAATTTATTGTTTTTTCGTTATTGCTGTCTTATCTTACGCTACTACTACTACTACTACTACTACCATTTCTTCTTCTTCCTAATTTGCCTTTCACTCTAAAATGATGGACTGAGATTAATTTCCCCCTTAAATGTTTTTTTGTTCCCTTTAAGAAAGAGAAAAAAGGCTGCAATGATATTTTTTTAAAATTGATATCTTCATCGGTTAACTTCTTATTTTTCGAGCATCAAATGACTGTCCTAGAGATCAGACGATGACTTTATAATATTTCTCACAGTGATTAAATTTTATCTGTGTTGTTGTCGGCTTATGTTTGATAAATTTACAATATACACTTCTTAACGCTTGCTCAACCTTTATGTGGAGTAATAAGACTTTGAGAGTGAATGTAAGAAAATCAATTGCCAAAGGTAAAGTAAAGGTGTAAATAAGTAATGGGTAATACAAATAGACGGATATATGGGTGATGGCTTTAATCAGATGAATGTTTTATTTATAGTGGATAGTGTACGTTTATTCCCCGTACTTACCGAGTATCTGTGCGACATGTGTAGGAACGCTTGGGTTATCGAATTGTCGAAAGTCTTTATTTATTCTGAAGATCACTAATATTGGTGACTTTATATTAGATGGTGGAAGGTAGTTCTGCGCTATGTGATGCTCGTCAGCAAAGCGTAATTGGATGCTTGAGGCGGCTGATGCCCTCTGGTGGATTCGAGTCACTTAGACTAGTGGCGTCAATGAAATACAAATCTATCACTATCAATGATTAGGCAATCATGGTATTGTCTGACACTTATTAATAAACCATTGTCAAGTGAATTCAGTCAAATAACTAGTAAAAACCAAGGAAAGCCGGACGACGTTCTCCTCACATTTCGACATTCCTCAACAAAGCGCGTCGTGAGTGACTGGATCAAGAGTAAACTAAGCTGTTGTAAACTCTTTAACTTCATATTACTAAATTGGTGTGTACTGGTTTATATTTCCACCTCAATCAATTCCCGATTTAAGATGACATTATTAAGTGTCCTATTTAAGACACTCGATTGAACCAACTGCCCACTATTTTTCACTCCTTTTCATAACTATTCGTTTTTTAAGTACATGGGTTAGATTTTAGGTAGAATGATGATTACGTTCAGTTGAAGAATCTCAAACTAGAAAACGAATCACTTGCTTAGCGTTTGCAAAGTTTTAATGGTTTACCAACTAAGATCAGTCAATTAAAAGATCAATTTTGAAATATACAAAATCTCTTTAAAAAATTCATTAAATTGGTTATTTTTATTATTATATATAAGGTTTATTAATAACGTTCGATCAGAGGTTAGATATATTATTCATCATATAACCTTCCCTATCTAATTTACCATGTTTTCATCATTGAGCGATAGTGGTAACAAATTCAATACTAAGCGTTTAGTGACACAAATTACATAACTTCATGAGTTGTAACTAGGGTTTGTTAAAAGAAATCGGTTAAGCTGGAGTTAAACTTATTACACCGACTTAAAAGTTGTATATTTAAATCAGTGTGAAAAAGACTTTCGTATTTAATCACTTCTACGGTTTTTATTGCCACCCTTACTTTTTGCCACAGGTGATGAATAGTTATGTACTAAAAAGAAAAACAAATAAAATATTTACACATCTTCTATCATTTCTATGAGGTTTCGTGGAAAGTTTTGTATCGTTGGTAGTAGTCTTCACAATGAATCAACATCAAATGAACTTTCAGTCAAAAGCGGTGAACAGTGGATTAAACCATTACGTAGCATTTAAACAGTTTACACTCACAATAATACACATGATTCAACCCCTAAGTTTTCAATTATTCATCAATTTATGTTCGTTTGTAATGATAAGTAAATTCATATTTTGTTGCATGAACGAAAATAAATATAATGACTTTCAAATGGTACTACTATTCGTATCTTAACAAATGGTTTCATTTATATGATAACTAAATATAAATCTTTCTAAATGTTGAGTAACCTATATGATATTATAATGATCAAGTTAGGACGATATTATTCATTTCATAGACTAGTAAGTCATCAAAACAGATACCTTTTCAAATAGTATCTAACTACAACCTGTTAGTTTAAAGGTAATTTAAGACACATTTATCCATTCAATATTTGTTTTTACTCGTTACTGGATTCGGCAATATTCAAAGTTCTTCAAGGTAGCTTAAAGAAAATGAAAGGTTATTCTGGCGATTAGTTGTTCTGTAATGACAAATCGATATCACTGACGATTTCCTTAGTATGAAACGTAACTTCATACTTTTTAATAATTTGAAAAATAATCAAATGGGGATGTTATAGAGTTGTGTTTTTTTTATTGTAGACAACAGTTTATTTCATACCTTGATGACCAAAATACTTTCCGCTATTGATCGATATTTCGTATCTTTAATCATTTGAACAGAAATGGATTTTTTTCAAACGAATTTAGTATTACCTTGATTCAAACAAATTTCGAATCCAAAAAATATTCATATCTCAAATCCTATCTATTCTGCTCTAGTTAAATGTATTTATGAGACTTAATGCACGAGATTGAAAACAGTAGTTGATGTTCCTTTAAGAATTTATGACAAACTGTCAAATATATTCTGCCTTGTTTTCATATATTTTTATCAGATCAATATCAGGGTCGAAAACGATCAAGATATGGAATCAGTTCATAAAGTAATCAATTGTGTTCAGTCCTATATCGGTTTTATAGCTTTGCTCTACCACAGAGTAGTATTGGATTAAAACCAAAGTGTTGTTCAGTGCTAATTGATTTTCAATTGTTATTCAGCTTATCCCAGATCGTGATGTAAACATGTACGTAGTTAGCGTTTATAAACATATCTATGTAACACGTGACTTCAGCAGTATACATTATTACTTTATGGAAGGAAAACACGTGTTTTCACCCTAAGGTTTGAATTCAGTCTAAAAATATAGCTGAGCAACATCCATATATATATATATATATATATATATATATATATATATATATAAACAAAGAAAATGGATAGTAAAAATTTCTCAAACATTTCTGATTTGAGAATAAACATCCTTGAGAGAAGGTAGTATCCGAAACAGATGAATGAGCTTTGGTGATAGGATAAACAACTCGCTTATGTATATGATTATATTTATCTATGTTAGTTAGCCTATTAAATGTATACAAATTATCTATCGTATGTTAGTGTATATGTGTGAGCATGTAAGAATATTTGTCATTAAAGGTGATAGGCTGAATTGTAAGGAAGAGCAGAAAAACCACATCATTGAAATGCTCATAAAGAAAAGGTGCCTTTGTCACTAATACTAACTTGTGAGAATGATAAACAAAAACTATAGAGTTTATTTTTGCACGTGTATACATCGCTTCTCACATTTATTGGCTCATGTCTTGATTGTGTTTATCATCAAACTCTTTTATAAGCTGTGTTATGTAGACTTGTAACAACAAATGACAGAAAAAATTACTTGTCAACTGTCATACACACATATATATATTGTATTTAGTAATCTACTTTATATGTTCTGGTTGCCTCCCCCCCTTCATTTTGTACCTTAAAATTCACTGTTTACCGTCATGTTAGAAAAAAAGTAACATATATTACGAGGCCGAAACCACTATATTTAATATTAGTAACAATAAACAATATAAATTTAAAGGGAGAAGTCAATACTACATAAAAATCTGTGCATAAGTATATATGTGTTTTTATGTGTGTAGAAGAGACAGAATCATTGAGATGACCAGACAAACAGTGAGTAGTATTATTCTAACAATAACGACTTTATAATGATATTAATGATGACCAATCTTTATTAATTTTTGGAGTTTCTCCAAAAATCTAACTAGGCATACATATACATACGTACATATAAATCCATACAAACTTTCATCTAAGTTGCTTTTGTAAATATTCGAAATTCACTAACAATACATCACGTCATCTTCATTAGTGGTATTACACAACGTGATCATATATCTTAGAGTATAATAGAATAACAAATGTTTAGTTGGTTAACAGTCTAAATCTAGATCTACATATAAAAAGAGAATATTAATACTGAACTAAAATAGAAATGGATGTTGTTCAGCAAACATATGGTAAGTCAATATGAAGATTTTGATATTTTGATAACTTGTGATATAAATCTACAGTTTTATTGACATTATTTCTAACTTATCAACTGTCATGTGATATAACTTAATATTGTCAAATCTTATATATCTATATTGTATTAATTTGTAATTAGTTAACTCGTAGCATATAACTGAGTTTGTCTTACTGAAGGAATTCTGTATATTAGGTATATTATCTGGCCATAAAAGTTCAGTGACAATAACATTAGCGTATATTGTTGTTAAGGATGAGTAGTTGAAAACAATTTACAAGACACAGGTCTTAAACTCTAAGGTAAAGTTTATCTTGAAGTTCGGAAAAAATGGGATTTCTCCAACATAACGATTAAAGATGTGATGAATGAATGGTACCTTGGTTATATAGTTTGAACAAGTCAAGTATATCAAAATGCTTGCTTCGTTACAATTTTATTATCGTAATCATCCTTATAGTTGGGTATAACAATAAGCAAATAAAAATGCTGTCATTGACATGAATTGTGTGTCCCTGTCGACTTATCATTCTTCTCAGCTAATGAGTTGTCTTAGAAAAGATTTGTCATTTCATGCATCATGATAAATCTAAACAAAATGAGTAGGACAAAATTTGCTAAGTAAATTCATTACATTTTAAGGCTTTTCATCAGATGCAAATTTCCTAAATTTACTTTAGTATTATAATCAATGAAGTTAAGTTCAAAACAACTTAAGAAACAAAAGGAAATAACATATTTGACATAATAGTTAAGATTGATTAATAATTGTATGTGGAGGATGAAATCAAAGCAGTGGAGAAACGAATGAAGTTTGAAATGATAATAAACAGACAATGAGTAAATACAAATGAGTGATAACATAAAATAAAGCCAACATCATCAGTGAATATCAATGGGATTATTACTTTGAGTTCTAAACTTTAATTATATGATAATTTAACTAACAAACGTTAAAATAATATGACTATCTTATCATGGCAATGATAGGTTTACCACTCTTTCTGGATACAAAGGCCAAGTCGATAGCTCTTGATGATAATGACCTCTGCAAAATGGAGTAAAAGTGGTACACTTTGCCTGTCAATTATTTTAAATACTTTTAGGATTTTATGGGTATTTTTGTCATGACATTTACGAACAGTCACAAAAATAAGGCTCTATGATTAGACATAAAATGATATGTGTAAAGATCTAGGAAGTTGAATAACAAAAATTAAAATGTTTCCACCGCCAGTCCAGTTCGTGTTTCTTCAATGAAGTAATCACCATCAAAATACTCGGAAATAAAGTTGTAACAATTTCTTGAACAAATATCGACGTATTGAATTTAATTTGGGATGTGCATATGAGTCATGTGGTATTGTGAAAATGTGTTTGTAATGCTTGTCTACATTCGATGGCCATACTTAGATTTAGTGACTTCTGAGAGAAAGGTTAACACGAACTAACAACTCGTAATTAACGAAGGAACTTAAACCCTTTCAATAAAGTAAACTGAATACAGTTGGTGGTATCATGGGAATGATATATATATATATATATATATATATATATATATATATATATATATATATATATATATATATATATATATATATATATATATATATAAAGAGGAAAATTATTCACTTATCATGCATTCATTTGAACACAATTGTGAACATTAACAGAGTATGATCGATTATTTTCTTGAAGAACCTCGTGCTAGACTTTCGAGTAATACGTTGGAAATATATAATTCATAAATATATTCCACTGCTCAAGATCGTTATAGGGATGACTTTATCTTTAATCTCTCTCTTGTGTATTCTACTTCCAGTTATTACGAAAATCAGAATTCAGTATCGAAGTAATGAGTGAATACCACTGTTATCGATTACAGAACATAGCACCCCCAAAGGTCTTCGTCCATATTCCATGACTGCTACTCATAGATTAATCTAGTTCCACTAACTTTGACTACTTTAAAGGTATAAGCACTTTCGAATCAAATTTAGTTCAAATTTTTAAAATTTTGAATAAATATAGGCAAGAAAGCCATTTAAAAACCACAGAATATTGTATCATTCACTAGTTATCAATAACCATTTAAACCAGCTTAATTCGTTGTCATACATCACAGAATAAATTATTTTGCCAAAATTCAGTAAATACGTGAAAAATAAACATGGAAACTGGTTTTTACTATAAATTGTTTAGTATCACGTCAACAATTGATAAGATCTGGATTTTAACATGATTAGATAGGGAATTCAAATGTTTTTATAAAAACAATGTAGATTTGTATAGTAATTTTTGGTATTATCACTTGTTGACAGCTTTTAGATTATAATGAACTTATCATTTTAACAGTTCACTCAAGCTTAAATGAAAAGCTGAAGCACCATTGAATGACTGCACTGGTAAACTTTGAAATATAAATTTACTGTCCAGTTTGCTGAAAATTAATTTCATACTGACGACGTCAGTAGCACATGTCAATAAAACGTAATAGTTAATAAAATGAATGTTAACTGAGTCACCCACTATGACAATGAAGCACTAACGATTAAATAACAAAGGATTTCCATACTAGAACGAAACGGTTGTCTAATGCTTCCAGGTTTTCAATGGTTGTCTAACTTTGATCGGTTTGTGATTTTAATGAAAATCAACAATCTCTGAAATCCTATACTGATAAAGTTAATTGGTTGAGTCCATTGTTTTAAATTATAAATGCCTCCTATTACTCAAGATTTAACCAATTCAGGTCTACAAATTAGATGATTTATATACATTTCACTATACTTCAGTCAAACGTTTACTGGATAACCTATTTCCTGTTAGAATTTGATTAAGGATTTCTAAGCATAACAGATGATTTCTTTTCCAGTGTTTTCTCGTAGTTTCTTTTTTGTTGAGGTTATGAATTACTTTAGTTATTTTTTAGTCTAATATCTGAAAATTTGTCTTGCATACTTCATCTTATAATCTGACATCACAATTTAAATCTAAATGACAATTTCCATCATTTGTTAAATGAATAATTACATATTATTGCGTAATTCGAACGTAACCATCAGCCAGTAACACTTATGGTTAACTTTCCCCCTCTCAAAACACAGTTGGTTTGATAGTTCAATATTTTAATCGCTGAAAAATTCCCATTATATTAAAACACAATTGTATGAACGAAGAATATTCTTTTCAATAATTTCTCATCAGGTTCTACAATTATAAATCCAAATTAACAATCCATAGAATTGGCCAGATTTAAGGCAGAGTACATCATTTGGAAATTGTAATATGTGAATTAAGAATTGTTATTTGTTATATAAAATCAAATCAGATTGTTAATGTTGGAGCTAGCTGACTAATATGAAGTGTTAACTTGAATCAGTTTATAAGCGAAATGAAATTGTGCGATAAATAATCAGAATAAATATAGTCAACATGGAGTGAGAAAAAAAAATTTGGGGATAAAAATCGGAAATTACGTAATATGTGGAATAATATGAATTAGGTCAGATATAATAGATTTAGGGGTGGATATTGAATAAATTCCTCAAAACGGTTATCAAATGTAATAATAATAATAATAACAATGATAATCACAGTCGTAAAGATAATTATAATAATAACAACAATAATAACGATAATAATATTAGAATCAGTAAGCGAACAGTAATTATCTAAAGATCACCAATAACAACAGAACAACGGTCATGGTTTATCATTGATCGCTTGTAGTTGGAAGTGTAAACTTTTAGATCCCAGCTTGAAAGCCTAAATCTATCATGAGCTACTTTGATACATAAAAAAATCTTAAACTAATAAGAAACAAGTATTCACTATCATTTGATTTTCAATGGCTCTCCAGCATAAACTACTCAATGAAGAAAAGTTATCTTTAGGTCGAGCAAGTCTCTACAGATCGCCTGTCTAAATTTCTATAACAAATCCTGATATAACGATGAAGAGGAAAAAGAATATATGATTATTTAAGTTTATAGTAATGAAGAGTGTAACTTTTATACATTTATTTATTCTGATAACATTACATAAATCAGGAATGACAAAGTTGTAGGATAATGCTTATTTATTTAATGTTGTCATCTCTGGGTCCTCTACACAATAATCGATATCTTTATTTTTTGTAAATGTTAGTAATTATGTCATTTCGTCTACCATATTTACAAATAATATCTGTAAATGATTATGTCATTAGTTCTATTAATAAATGAATTAAACATTTATGATTATGGAAAATAGTGATGAAGATGAAGATGATGATGATTAGTTCTACTAATAAACTGCGTCACATTTTATAAGGTCCTTTCAATAGTTTCATTTGTAAATATAGTAGTTATAAAAAGTATGCAGAAGTTTTAGAGCATAAATAAATGAAATGAATTCGCTGTATCTCACAATGCTTATTGTTCTTATTTTACGAACTGACAGATCATCATCATAAGATGTCATCATCAGACATTGTCATTGATACATCTTGAGTTTACTTAAATGTGATGTACTTAAAATTAAATGTACATTTTCGTTTTCAGTTTTTCTTTTAATATTAAACTACAAGAAATCGATTTTTACTTATTGGCCTATTGGACACAACACTTTGATTTATATAGCTACCTATTTATTTATTATAATAGTTGGATCATAAATATGAGGTTTTGTTAATTAATTCAATCATAAGATTGTTTGTGCCTTGTAGTCGTTATTATTTTTTGGAAAGTATTCTGATTGATTAGAATCAAGCATTGAAAATAAATCATTGTAAAAAGATTTATGACTATGTCATGTATGGTAGTTGGAACTTGTATCGTGCAAAAAACTGTCAGATATTTATATTAAGCTTATCTTTATCACTTTAGATAAAGTGGAATAAAATCCTTAAAAGTAACACTTAAGGAAAATCAAACTACTTTATGTAAGTAATGATCACTGGTTTGAGAATAATATTAAATAGCTGAAACCAGTGAATACTAGTGATAAGTT